AATGCACCTAAATATGTTTCAGTGCCTGATAATGAAAATATGGTGTAAAGGTTGAATTTGGGTTCCAAGCCTGACTTTTCAYTGACACCAAATAAATTCACAGCACAACTCAGCCTCAGAAGGCGCAGACAGATTTCTTTCAAACATCAAACCAGTGATTTTGGATTTGCTCCTGAAATATTTGCTCCTCGATGTTATGGCATTCTGAACATGTTTAAGTGAGGTTATCCTTTGATTTAGAAAAAAATGTAAATGAGGAGTAGCTCACAGAAAGATGTAGCTGCTTTGTGAGGGTGCTTTCCCTTTCCAGGGGCAGGCATTAGCTTTGTATTCCTGCGTGGAAATCGGGGAATGGGGAGCTGGAGCTGTGCCATTTTATTGATTTTGGTCTGGCACAAGGAACTGCTTGGTTTCCTTTTTCTTGAGCATTGTTTGCTGGSATTTTTAACTCTGGACAGGGATCCTGGGACAGCAGCAGTGAGCAGGGAGCTGGGAATGTAAAAAATKTGAGCCCTTGGAAGGGATTCACAGCACCTTTGGGAGATGTTGCCAAAGCACCTGATGGGCACAGGCTGGCACTGCCTCTGCTGTAGGGGCAGCACGCAGAAATATTCATATTTTTGTATTTTTCATTTTAATTCAAAGAGTTTTTAGCTAATGACGAGAAGTTTCCCAAATTAGGATTGTTCCCAAGTGCTCCTGCTYTATCTGCATCCCATGAGCTCCATGGTGGGGTTTGGTGTCAGCTGGTGGGAGGTTTAGCAGGGGAATCTTTAAAGGTCCCTTCCAACCAAAATCATTCCCTAATTCCTGTAAGGAAGCCAGGGAAGGAGCAGAAAATGTACTTTACAGCCTCATCTGCAATGGGATCTTCTACATCATGTGAGGCACCAGATTAAAAAAAAAAAACTATATCTGTATCTATATCTATATCTGTATCTATATCTATATATATATCTATATATCTATATCTATCTATATATCTAAATTTTCCAAAGATTTATAATATGGCAGTGTGGGGAGCATAGAAAAGGAGTGAGTGCAAATTTGCTATAGGAATTAAGAAAAAGAGGACAAAAATAAAAAAAAAAGGAAAACAAATTTAGCTATTGTGCTTTCCAAACAGAGGAATCTTGCATCTCTTTGTTCACTCAGAGAGAAAGCAAAAAGTCTGATCGTTCTGTGTTCAAAGAATCACTTTAAAATAAATTTCGGGACAAAGTTGGAAGTTTTTTGGTTTCCTTCATGATTGGACTGGCTCAGTTAATTTGTTCAGGGCTTGGGACTCTTTGCTAAGCCATTAAAGGAGATAAAAAAAACAACTCCAAAACTCTCTGTTCTCTTATTTGGTGCTCATTATGAGCAGCCACAGGGATGTACATCCCTCTCATTCGAGAGCAGGCAAAGCACAGCTGAATTGGCTGCTCCAGGAACCCACAAAGCATCAAAATTAAATGTTTCTGCTTTTCATGTCCTACACGTGAAATATCGCTCGGCCTTGGAGGTGTTCACAGGAAACATTGCATGTTGTGTTTGCTTCTAAACTGAAGCCAAAAGAAAAAACAGGAAATATTTATAGATTTAAAAGCATTTCATGCGATTTATGACATTTGTTGCAGGTTGTGATTATCTTAAATGTAGATATTTTGGRGACAGCTTGATTTGTTGGATTGAGTTCTGATTTCCACAGTAAGATTCYCTCAGTGACTTTATTTCTTACGGATTTCTCAGCTTCTCCCTTGTTGTGTTTTATGGATAGTGGAGGAATAATATCAGCCCAAAGATCTGATACTGTAAATACACCTTTTAGCACCGATGCAGAACCCTCAGCGCGTGATAAATGAGGGAAATAAAAGGTATTTTCTTACAGATAGGAAAAAATGGCATGGAATTTATCCCTGCTGGAAATAATGGACTCTTCCCCCAGTTATGCAGTTTCTAATTCCTGGTGTTAACTCTTCTGATACAAGAGAAGACATCTGTGTGTGTGTGTGTGGAATGTGACTGCCTGAGATAGCTCAAAAATCCTTAATTTCCAGAGCTGTGCTTGAAAGAGAACATAAATTCATGACCCTTAGTTTTGTGTGTTGTAATTTCTGGTTTTAAGAGCACAGAGGAGAAAGTAAACGAGATTATGGAATCTCAGGAAGGTTTGGGTTGGAAGGGATCATAACAAACATCTCGATCCACCCCTGCCATGGCAGGGACACCTCCCACTGTCCCAGTGCTTTTAGCACAGTTTAGGACTGTGGATGAAAAAATGCTCCCAAATTATCCCCTGGTATTCCTTTGTCTGTCAGATCATTGAGTCTGGTTTGATTTGATGTGATTTCTGTCTTTAAACCAAAGCCCAGGCTCTGGGAGGGTTTGCTGTGTTTTATTTAGCTCCCTGTGGAATGTCAGGAGCAACTAATTACAATGCATAATTCTGCTCATGATTATTATTTTTTCCTTTCTGTTTTACCAATTTTGATCCCTTTCAGCACTACAAGGACCTAGGTCACCTTGGCCACACACACAAAGCTGCCCCTGTTGCAGGGTTGGCTTTAGCAAAGTTAAAACCAGCTCTGGAGGGACTGGAAACCCTAAACCTCCTGGGTTAACCAAACCTGCCTATTTCAGTCTGATCTGTCAGGATATAATTTAAAACTTTGAAACCAGAGAAGCAAAATCACCCCTTTTGCTTCTATTTCTTGTGCTGATCTCTATTCTCAGATACTGGATTTGGGCATTGGATACAGCTGAAMATGCACAAGAGTATGGATTGAAAAACAAGGAGGAAAAGCCAAAAACAAACCTCATGTGCCCTTTCTGAAAGATAATTTTTGTTTACCATTAGAAATTYATAATTTCAAGCATTCCTGTTTGTAGTCACCCTAACACCTGTGCAGTGGGTGATTTTTGCTGTATCTGTGCTTATGAATTCCAGTCAGACCAAGAAAAAAATAGAGTCCCATCTCGTCCCAGATGGGAGAGAAGGAAATGAGCCACTTGTTTGAAAGGAAAAAATCGATGGTGAAGCAAAATTCTGAACCTGGGTCTTGTGCATCCCTAACCGGGGTGGTTACTGTGTCCAGGAGAAGGAATTTCAGCTTTAGGAATTCTCTGAGAGATGATTTTGTCTCGTAACAGCCTGTTCTATCCCGCAGCTGCTTTTTTAACTTCGCGACTTCACCGACATCAATTGACTGTCAAATAAGCGCCGCTGTGAACTCATGAATAAACATTGTTGTCGTTTCCATATTAAGAGGGACTTCAGCTGAAAAGAATCCATTTGTGCCACTGCAATATCTTAATTATTTACTGTGTTATATTGTAATTAATTGTGGTTTGCTCCCTCCAAACTCCATATTCCGCAGATCTCACGGGYTTTGGAAGCAACGCGCTAATATTAAAGTCATAATCAACACTGCCTCTAAATATTCATGCCAATAAATGACTCCCATGTGTTCTCTGAGTGCCAAGGATAGTCTGAAGCATTTATTTAGCATTCTAGTGGGATCTGGTTTCTGCAGAGTTCACAGAGATGCAGAATTTCAATTTCGTTGCTGGGAAAGCACGTTTGGATTCGCACGAGCAGGACCYTTTGGATAAAGGAACGGTATCTCAGTCCCAGCCTGGGCTCAGAAAAGTCTCAGAGCTCTCTGATATTTTTCATTTGAACAATTTTGTTTAGTCTGTGACAGCCTCCCAATAATTTCGCTTCTTAATAAACATCTCTAATTTTTCAAACAATTCGAAAATCGTTGCGTTCCGAAGGCGGGGATGCTCCGTCTGTCACGGAGGCTCCACCGGGGCCCCGCCGCAGCAATCACGAATTCAGACACATTTCTCAACAAATCAATTAAAACACCAGAACCCTGAAACGATCTCGATGCAATTGGCTGGCACAAATCTCCAGAAAAGCGTCTCGAGCGTGCGGGGGAACAGCTGATTTATGGAGCTACTGTTGGAATTTCAAACAAGGAAATGCTGCCGTGCAATCCAGTGAGCTTTGTTTAATGAAATGTAAGTTAAATGTAAACAGCTTTAAAATATATGTGAGCTTTTGGATTTGGAGTAGCCAGCAGATTGCAAATTGTGCTTTGCCCTTGGAACTGCAGATTCCAGAATWGGTGTAGGTGCATCGCCCCTTCCTGGAAGATTTTGGGCCTCCACTGCTTCAGATCCTCTCTCACAGCTCCCCCCAAAAAATTAATGGATTTACCTTTGGATGCTTGAGATGAAAAAGAGCTCGTTTTTTATAATCAGGGGAAAGGCACTGTGGAGATTGCATGCAGTCATGATGGTGCTGAAAATGCAATCCAGATGTCCYGGTCCCTGCTCCATGCTGGAGCACAACTGGGATTTCCGTGGGCTCTTTTGATGATGGCTTGTTTAGAAAGTTCTCTCAAATACTTGTGTAGGCATAAATACTTTGTCACAGGGATACTTGATAATACTGTTGACCATATTTTTGTTGMCATTTCATWTTTTTTRTACTTGAYARTCCTTGTGGRTCCCTTCCAACYCAGGATGTTCTATGACTTTTTATTGTTCAAACATGACTTYTTTATCTCTTTTAAGCTAAAACTTAATTATGGATAAATAAACTTAATTATAAGTAAATAAGCATTATGAAAAGCTTGAAATACATCT